TTATCAGACCTGCAAAATCATTTGGAATTGGTCAAGAAGCCTGTGCTCCCATTCAGAATGTCTAGGTGACTAGGTGTCAGCTAATGGGTTAATTAAACAAACTGGTAAAAGAATAACTCATGATCCAACTTTGATGATGGCCCAAAGTCAGGAGAAAGGGACCTTTTTTTCCCTGCCCAAATTCTTTATTCATTTGAGTAGGGATATCTCTACAAAAATGATTATTAGCTGTCTGTTTCTCTTCAGTGAATTTTCAAATGGACAGTGCTGGACTTAACCACTGTTATATGAATGTTTTTAAAGATAATATCCCCATACCAGGCATGGTGGCTCACACTTGTAATCTCAGCACTTTGGGAGGCCAAGGCGGGTGGATCACAAGGTCAAGAGTTTGAGACCAGCCTGGCTAACATGGTGAAACCCTGTCTCTACTAAAAATACAAAAATTAGTTGGGTGTGGTGGGCGGTGCCTTAGGAGGCTGAGGCTGGAGAATAGCTTGAACTCAGGAGGTGGAGGATGCAGTAAGCCAGGATTGCACTATTGCACTCCAGCCTGGAAGAGAGTGAGACTCCATCTCAAAAAAAAAAAAAAAAAAAAAAAAAGATAACTTCCTCAGCATAATTCAAACTGTGTTGCTAAACCTCCTGAGTATAAAGGAAAGTCATCACAAGTTTCAACAAACACAAGCCAACAAAGGAAAAGGGTCTTGATGTTTTACTTCCAAATGGACACCGCAAATATACACCCATGTGTGTTTCTACTTAGCAGATTGACCTGAACCACCTCTGAAGAACCTGATTTAAGGGCATGGCCATTAAATACCAACATGTGCACGTATACTGTGGGTTTGGGCAAAGACTGCTGTCTCCCAGTCTACACTGATTTTTCTGTCTTTTCTCTACTGAATTACTTTGGAGAAATTTTATTTCAGACCAAGTTTATTTTTCTGTAAGAAAAAGCCTCAAGGAATTTAATCATCTGTGTAATCATATGTAGTTGTGTATGTAGTTATATACAATAACTTTAATGGTTGACTAGAATATTAAGAATTCTCCTTAAAAACCTCATTTCTTCCAGGTACACACTAGCATTGGCGTCTTTTATGTGTGATAAGGCACTTGTTAGTTAGCAAGAAATTTATTATTGTTTCAATAGTTGTGCTCAGTTGAATTTTATTTAGTGTAAAGGTCATGTCTGGTTTCCACCATATAACTGGTATGTTTTTAAGTTAGAGGTCTTGTTTTTTTCTTAGTTATATTTAATCATATGATTGGAAAGTTGCAAAATTCGGTGATTCCCAGTGGGTCTTTTTTTTTTTCTTCAACAAACAAGTGAAATGCTGTTTGTCTGGCAGTCACTGAAAATGTCTTAAACTGCAAAGTATTTTATCATTATTCTTCTAAGACCTTGGAATAAATAAACTTCACCTAATAAACCCCTCCTGTAAGGTTAAAACAGTTTTGTAATTGCAAGCATTTAAAAAGCCTATTTTTGAAACACGTTTTTCTGTAACAAGTCAAGTACTGAAACAAAGAGGAAGTAGGGAACTTATTAAAAATATGTAATTATTCATAGTTATTATAAAGGAGAGATAGTGGCTTTTAGTATGCCCTACAGTAAAAATGTCCGTTTTTAAAAAAATTGTAATTATATGGTTCTAAAGCACCTTTGCAGATTCACTGGCACTTGGAGAGGGTGAACTTTGGTACTTTTGCCTTAGCCTTTTCTTTAATGGGCTCTGATTTGATCTGAGTAGTTTTCAGGTTTTTTTTTTTTTTCAAAATCCAAATTTGTCCTTGATATGCAAGGAGGCTAGACAGAGCATGTGCGGTTTCTGGAATGAAACTATCTGCAAATGATCTATTTAATTAGAAAAGCCAGTATTCGGTCCAAATGCATTTGTTGGAAGTATAATCAGTTCCTTTAACAATTAGAGCAATACATTTTGAAGGAATTTAATAGGCATTTTTCCAGAGTTCCCTTGTGCTGTAAGCTGTGCTGTAATATGACATCATCACAATATTCAATATTTACTGAACTTAAAGTAAAATAGATGCTAAACTGAGCTATGAGATAATATTTATCCCTTATAGATATAAATTTTAAAGAACTGGCTCATTTTGGGAATTTATATTTTCATTCCTTTATGGTTAAATCTTGACCTAAAGAGCTGGTGTAATCCAGAAGGGTGAGTAATACTATTTCATAAATCCACCCTTGTTTGGATTTATGTTTTCCAAATGCATTTTTTCAATGTATTCAAAGTTATATTTAAGTCTAACCAGGTTGCCTGCAATATAAACTATGGAGAGGAATAAATAAACGATGGACTACAAAGAACTGCAATGGTTTTCTTGTTTTTCTTTTTAAATTAAATCTTATTAAACTGATATTGTTTGGACAGTTGAGAATTATCTCAGCCTATTTAGGCTGCTATAACAAAATACCATAGACTGGGTAGATTACAGACAACAGAAATTTGGTTCTTACAGTTCTGCAGGGTGGGAAGTCCAAGATCAGGACACTGTCAGATTCAGTGTCTGGTGAGAGCCTGCTTTCTCACAAATGGCACTGTATCATTGTGTCTTCACATGGTGGAAGGGGCTAGAGAGCTGTCTGGGGTTTCTTTTATAAAGACGTTAGTCCATCTAATCACCTCTCAAAGGGCCCATTTCTTTGTACCATTACCTTGGGGGATAGGATGTCAATATATGAATTTTGTGGGGACATAAGACATTCAGACCATAGAGAGTATAATGGCAGAAAAGAGCTACTGTATATAAGTGAGGCTTAGTTTTTTTTTTTTTTTTTAAGGAGTAGATCTGGCAGTACAACCTCTTGTCAACTGATAGAAGTGGGGCTCATTTAGGAAAGGTAAGAGGGAAGTAAAGGCCTTGTAAAACATTCCCCTTTATAGGACTTCTAGCTACTCCGTGTTGTTCATCTTGGGCTTAAATTCTATGACCAAACATTCTATCCCTGAGAAAATAAGCATACTCTTAGGAATTCGAGAGTAATCAAGAATTGTAGATGACATAATTCTAGGTGACTTTGACTTGATTTCATATGTGATGGTATCTTCCCTTTTCTGGAGTCTTATCTTGAGCAATAAATTATAGCATCATATGTAAATATTATTCATATGCCAATTATCAACAAACATGCTTAGAAATTCTATGAGCAAGCATGAAAAGATGATGTACCTGAAGTTAACCAGCGTGATATTCTCCATCAGAAATGGATTATTCTCAAAATAACTCCAATCATCTTATTACCTTTTATAGTTTTGGTTAAACCCATAGAATTCTTTGAGTGTAATATAAAATTGTGTCATTTTTCTCCCAGTTCCTTCTATTTCTCTGGCTCTAACTTGAACAAAAGTGAAGAAATAATAGTTTAGTCACACACACACACACACACACACACACACACACACACAAAAGATTTCTTTCATTCTGTTTTGGAATGTGTCACAACTGCTTTTGTAGAAATAAATCAAGTCCAGTTCTGAAGTTTTAGAACTTCTTTGGTGATATCGTGGACTTTTTAATTCATGAGGTAAACATGTAAAAATCTCCACCTACTTCATTTTTTGGGAGGATACAGGGAAAAGGAAGAAAGTCTTAGAATTGTGGGTAAGGTTGATATAAGATTACCATTGACACTGGAATTGCCTGGGTGTGAGAGGCTTCCTGGGAGGAGCATGGGGGGAGAGTCTTCAGTTATGGCTAAAATACTTCTGAAACGTATGGGTGTTGGCTTTGATTAAAATTCTAAATTTTCTTTGACATTGTGGGCTGATCTCTTGATCTATTTTCATTCCTGGTTCTACTAATGTGTGTTTTTTTTTTTTCCCTCTTCTGGGGATGGTAAGAGTTCTATAAATAATACCCTATGTAGAGCTTCCTCTGATCTCTGCCCTTTGTTCTCATCTTCAGTGAGTTAGGTGAGCGTTTAGCTTTCTCTAGGAAAACATTTTTCAATCATTAAACCTTTGGGTGAAGAATGTAGAAAACAATTTTAATTCCTTCTTTATCTCTTTCAATATCTCTCAGAAGGTTTAAAGTGAAAGAAAGAAACCTTTTTGTTTGTGTCATGATGAACAGCAAAACGATGATCCTTTCCCGTTTTCCTTTAGCAGTGTAGGGAGTGTCTGTTTGTGTAATATGGGGGATATAAAGTCTGTCAAATGTATTTTGTTCTCATTTCCATTAAGGTTTTTTATTGCTATATATTGCTAAGTTATCAAAATGTCTAGGAGTCTTAGAAAGCAGAAGCTAGAAAAGAGGATTGTTACATCCCTAAGGTTAATAGGAGATCTCCTATTATCAGAATAATCTATTGTTCACTAAGCTTGTGTATATTTAGACACATATAGAGCCAGACATGAGGGGTAAAGTTTTTAAAATCATAATAAAAGGGGAACATGCATCTGCTGAGCTATGTATATTAAAGGAAGACACAACAAAACATGCTGGTCAAGCATCAATAAAATGAAATTTTACGTTCATCTTGCCACTTCACACATCATGCTTTTTATGTCTGAGATAAATATTGGTTCATCACTGATATTTCACCTTATTTAAACTTGCCTCGTGAAATCACAACAGAATCCTCACAGTGGTGGTTATTTTTATACACTGTAGGCTGTACCCACATAGAGAATTTTGAAATGCATATTTTTCTACCTTATTAAAAATTTAGTTAAATAATTGTTCTTAAGCACCTCATGGTTACATATAGGCAGATATAAAACCAAGGATGCTTTGGCTTCTCTTGATTTGCTTTTATCCTCTGGAACTTCAGGGGAGCAGTCTAGTGCTTCTCTTTGAGTGTGTTTATGAAGATTATGTAATTAATGATATAATAAGCTATTAATACTCCACAAAAAGAGACATTTTGGAAGTGGTGGAAGGGGTGGTGGTGGAAGGTTGAGACTGCTATTTCTAGAAGACATTAGAACACTTTTAATTGTTCTTTACTAATCTCATTTTCCTAGATGGATCAAGTTTGAAGAAAAAGTGGAACAGGGCGGGGAAAGATGGAGCAAGCCCCATGTGGCCACATTGTCCCTTCATAGTTTATTTGAGCTGAGGACGTGTATGGAGAAGGGATCCATCATGCTTGACCGGGAGGCTTCTTCTCTCCCACAGTTGGTGGGTAAGTATGCTGTTTGAACCTTTTATTATTTTTGTTGGCTTTACCTATCCATAGTTCACCAAGGCAGATGACTAGTAGTATAAGCAGAGTTAAATATTGTATAACATTTATTCTCTCTTTTTGTATTATAATATTAGTATGATTTATTGCAAGAAAATTTGAAAAATAACACAAATATTAGGAAAATAGGAAACTATCTTCCATAACATCTTCCTCTGGTCATTGTTGGCATTTTGGAATATTCCTTCTAGCTTTGCTTCTGAATCCTTTCCCTTATGCTGTTCTTTTATGCTGTTCTTTTTTTTTTTTTTCTGAGACAGAGTGTTACTCTGTTGCCCAGACTGGAGTGCAGTGGTGTGATCTCAGCTCACTGCAACTTCCGCCTCCTGGCTTCAAGCGATTCTCCTGCCTCAGCCTCCTGAATAGCTGGGATTACAGGTGTCTGCCACCATGCCTGGCTAATTTTTGTATCTTTAATTGAGGCAGGGGGTTTAGCCATTTGGCCAGGCTGGTCTGAAACTCCTGACCTCAAATGATCCACCCACCTCAGCCTCCCAAAGTACTAGGATTACAGGTGTGAGCCACCATGTCCTGCCATGCTTTTCATTTTTAGTTATTTTTCATTTTATATGCACAGTTTTATATTCACTTCCTTCACTTATTAGCATAAGATTAATATTATAAATAGAGTCTCTTTATTCACCAAAATCCTTGGTTATATTGGACTGGAAGTCCAGACACTAGATTTCTAGAACTCTTAGATCTTAGAGATCTTACACTTGCACTTAACTTCTCTGGACCTCAGTTTCATCATCTGTAAAACAGGACTTAAATCATCTGTAAGAAGGGAAATAATCTAGCTCCTGGGTTAGGGTTGATCGTAGGCAGAAGTCAAGCCCCTTTAGCTACATGTGGCTAAAGGCTGGGTGGGACAGGGATCCAGCAGGACGTTACAGGTGACTGCATAAGGTCACACTGGTGGCAAGTGTCATTTGTATCACTACCATTAAAGTCATTGAAACTCATGGTGCAGGGCAGCTTTGGCATCCTTTGTTGTGTTTTGTGCGCTGAATGTTAACTCATCATGCTGAACACCTTGAGTACACATCACTGCATTCCAAACTGGAGCCATTGTTTTCATTTTTTTTATCAGTGGCTTGGCCCTAAAACTGCCATATTACCCTTCAGATCTAGGTGTGCCAGAGATCGTGTTTTTAAAAAATTTCTAATTTTTTTAAAGAAGTACAGGGACTCCACTTCTTATTCCTAGGAAAATTTCATAATCAGGTGAGCACTGGATCTGTAGGGATGTGACTGGATTTTTCCAAGGGGTCTGCAGTATGCCCACCCAGGGATTGTGGGAAAGAAGATGTGGATCAAAGACCTGAAGAAGGTGATCAGTGTACATTCTTATATGATTTCAGACTTACTGCAGTTTCTTTGCATATCTGTAGACAAAAGGCTTGTCTATGACATCTGTGTCTTTATATTATAGGTAATACGAATGCTGCAGCATTTGTGTTGGAAGTAAAGATTAGATGTCAAATGAGGCATATGTCTGGCTGACGTATATATACTTGGTTCTTTTTCAGAGAGCTTGTTAGTTAGATTTGCAAAGAAGACCCATGCTTTTCATGCCTGAAGTACATAAGGTACAAGTGTGGAAGGGAGAGGACTTATGTGAAGATGCTGGATGGACAGAAACAATTATTTAATACACGTATTCTGCAGTAGTACATGGGCTTTTATAATGTGTCAAACACTGTTTTAGGCTTTGGTAAAATTAGGGTTTGCAAATCTACCACTAGGTAAATGAGACAAGGTATGTCAACATAGGTGCAAATCTGTATATGTAGTTAGAAGATAATGGAGGAAACACAGTTTTACATAGTGTTTTTCATATTGAACAAGGCAGGTGAGGCTGAAAATGGAAATCTGATAGATGAGGAGAGATCTTGGATTAGGGTACCCAGGGAGAGTGGAACACATCTACAGAGACAGAAGCAAAGAGAAAGAATGATTTCCTGGGGCATCTCTTCCATTGTCTTTTTTATTTATTAAAAGCTGCAAGAGAGATTGTTATCCAGAAAAGTATAATGATTGGCAAAAATCAATCCAGTTTTTGAATGAAAATTGTAATTCTCAGACTTAAAGAACTAACCTGGAGCAAAGATGTCAAAAATTACACAAGTTGAAAATAAGTCAAATGTGCATAAATATAGGGCAAACTGGAGAAGAAACTCGTGTCTTGGTAGTGTATAGGCAGTCTAGGAGGAAAATAAGGGTCACCAGGAAGATTCCCATTAAAAACAAACAACAGTTTTTACCATAGATGATCATTACTGCCTAAAGTTTCCCCACTTAGGGATTCATGCCACTGTGCTCAGTGTTTGTCCCCTGTTAAAATATACATACTATATGGGAAGATGTCGTTTATTAATTCCCATGAGATACAGAGTGATGTAGAAGAAGGAATGCTGGATTTAATGTTGGGAGCTTGTAATTAAAGTCTAGCTCTACTAGCATGTATGACCATGGGCAAGGCCAGTTACTTAAATATTTTGGAGGTCTCATTCCCTCATCTATAAAAGGAAGATGAAGGTGGACCTTTTAAGGTTGTTGTGAACATTAAATAAGATCATCAGATGTATTTGCTGTCTACGTGTATGTCTATCCCAGTATAAATAGTTTATCCAGATCTTTCTGCATGTCACCTAGCAGATTGAAGATGGATTGAGTCAGATAGAGAGACACTCAGTGACTTCATGAACAGGTGACAAGATTCAAAATGGTGTGGTAGATAGAGCTGGAAACAGTGGAACAATGTAGCATCTCTGCTGTACTTGGAGCTGATCTGCAAGGGTGATGAAAGTTAAAAGTTGAATTACATACTTCGATGTTTCTGTAAAACTGTCTTTGGGACCTTCATCACCAGGAAGAGTCATTTTAAGGAGTTTCTGTTCTTCAGCAACTAACTGGCCCTTTTCATGTTGTAGAAGAGAAAGTACCACATTATACTGGAACCCTTTTAGCCAATGGCCGAAGAGAGAAGGTTTTGGTATTTAGTAAGAGAGGTTAATCAAGTATTATATGGTCTCCTTTCAGGTTTTCATTATTTTTTATTATCAGTTATGAACTTTTTCTCTAACCTCCATGCATTTACTTTAAAAATTGTCATAAGATGTTAAAATTAGACACTACTAGGTCACTTTGAGGTATCATCACTCACTAATATGTTTGCTCTGCAACCCCTGGGGTAAGCAGGCAGCGAGCCAGTGCTGTCATTCTGGAGCTGTTAATACGGAAAAATGGTTCAGGGGCAAATAACACAAGCAAAATAAAGGGGAGGAAAAGGGCCAGATTTCCAGAAGTGGGGAGAAGAGCATGTTTGAAAGAGTGTCACTAGCTAAAAAATTCTTAATCCTCTGAAAGAATCAAAACTTAACACTGGGTAAAACATGAAGGCAACAGAGCCCTTTTTCATCTAAATGACAGAAGATGGCATAGTAACTTGAGGAGTTATAGTCATTATTTGGTTATTTAAAAAATCCTTTTGTAGCAGAGGGTGAGGTGGAGTTGTTTTGTGCAAAATCATGCTGATACTTCTGAGTTGAGAATTATGCACAGCTAATTCTTAAGATGCATCTCCCCGCACACCCCCATTTTATATCAACAAATGAGAAGGAAAAGAAATAATAGCAAGCGTGATTATATCAAACAAACAATAGCTGCTTTTCATTTTCCTTTGCAGTCCACCTGCTACCCCTCACTAGCCTGCCTCTGAGAGGCATCTCACTCTGCAGGCTCAAAGACAGCACCACACCACGTGAGGGCCCTGCACCACAGTGGGCGACTGTTTAAGCAGGTGTTACTTCTCACACTTACATAAAAAATTCTGCCTATTTTTTATTCGTCTCAGGACCTCTACTTGATTTTTTTCATGAAGAACCTCTTCTGAATCTTAATAGAAAAATTTATCTTTAAAGTATTACAAAGGATAAAACATCATTTTCACATTATTTAATAGCGTTATTATTAGTATCCTCATTGTAATTCTACATTTAAAGAGTGTCATTCACGTATGAAGCCGAGTCTATGGGAATTTTCCTGCCCTCTTAAGTTAAAAAAATTATAAGCCATTTCAGGTATTTTATTATGATGGGAAATGGATTGGGAAAATGTAGCTCTATTTTTGGAGTCTCATTTTTATATTTAAAGGCATTCCCGAGCTGTGCATGTTGGCAGATAGGTTGGTCCTATTGTTTCTTAGTTTTTATACCTTTTATATTTTTAAAATGGCATTAACTTTTTTTGTAGTCACAAAACCAATGCATGGTCATTTTTAAATAATCTGGAAAACTGTAACATGTAAAATTAAAAAAACTCACTAATCTAATCTCTCAGAGCTGTCCTCTCCTCTCAGCATTTTTTTTCTGTAAAACTCTGTTGACACATATATAATTGATTTTACAAAATGGAACCACACTACATCATTTTAGTATTTTTTTTTTTAAAACGTAAGAACTTTTTAATGTCATTAAATAGAAATATGAACATTACTATAGTAGCTGCAAAATATTCAATAAACTATTCTTGGGCATTTAGATTGCCTTTAAGTTTTAATTATAAGAAAAGAAGTGAACATCTTTGTTATATTGTTGTGAAATGATTTCTTTAGGATATGTAACGGTAGACTATTCAAAAGGTGTAAATGTATTACAAAGCTTTTGTACGTCCTAGTCAATACTGCACTGTTGTCATCAGAAATGGAATTGCCCATTGAATACCTTTCACATCATGGGGGTTGATTCAACTTTTAATTTTTATTTCTTTGACAAATGAAAAAAATTCTCACAATTGGTCATATTTGTACACTTATTTAAATTATCTTAGTTAATCTTGAAGTCAAATATGTATTTATGTATTTTTGGCCCTTTGTGTTTCTTTTAAGAATGTTTGTGATCTTTGTCCATTCTTCTGTCACACAGCCATCATTCTTTTGGTCTGCAAAAACTCTGCACATATCAATTTTCTTTTCTCTAGAGCTTTTTAAATAAAGAAAAATATTGTGTGACATGGAGAAAGATCTAAACTTTGAGTCAGAAAACCTGGTTTTATATGGGAGTTTCGCCTCTATTCAGTGTATGTCTTCGGGCAAGTCACTCTGTGGCCCTGTGTTCTCATCTGCATAACAAGAGATTGAACCTTGATGCTCTAGGAGGTTCCTTTCAGCTCTGCTATCATCTAGAGTTGGCACATTCTCTCCCAAGTGGTAGCGCCTGTGGGATTTTGAACATTGAAGGCTTAATTTCAGTGTAGCTGTGAAATATTACTGCCCCCACTTTCCTTGGAATGATTTTGTAGTTTATGCTTAAAGAGATCCCTATAATGTTGGCCATTTTAATGGAAACTTAATAAAGGGCGTAAAGCTACACAGATGTTTTAACCTGTTCTAATGGGTGATTTCCAGGCATTGGCAACAGAGGAGTAGCTGTGCATACATAAAGATTGGTTTGAGATTTCAAGGGAGGGCAAGAATAGAGGGAGGCTCTACCAGGAAGAGTAGATCAGAAACAGTTTAATCTGCAACCCTGAAATTAAGTAGGAGTTTGATAGCACTCATAGCAGATATGGTGGGTCTGTTTGTTTGTTTTTCTGGTTCTTCTGTAAAATGGACTTTCCACTTTAAAAGGACTTAAAGGGAAAGTAGAAGGGTTGTGTTTTGTAGGCACCTAATTATTTACTGTGGAACAGAAGTTTAATTGTAATTACAGGATCAATTCTGATAGTTTTACTGTGTGGGGTTTGTGTAGTTAAAATACTCAGAGCTAAAAGCCACTCTCAAACCAAAACATTCCTATGGGAGAAACTTTTCCTGCCTTGCCCAGCCTCGCTACCAAGTGGTCCCATGTTATATAACATTTATGGCATCTCTGTGAGGCACGTGATGAAAAATACTGGATTCAGCCTCTGCTTGGCTTCCAAATAGTTGACAGCACACTGTGTAAATTGCCAGGTTCTAGCTACAGGCTGTGAGGCCAATTCTGTGAGTGCTTAGAAGATGGACTTTTGAGAAGTTCAGTCATACTCAAGCAAAACCCCTTGAACATCTGTAACTTCTCTTTACAAAGAAGTGAGAATCCTTGAGAGATACTGTTATCCTATCAGTACTCACTGATTTTCTTGACAGTCTTTTGGAAAAGAATAGCTATTGTTCATTTCTCTAAATTTATATACTAAAGTTTGCCTAAGAGGAAAATATGAATGTATGTGCTAGATGCATCCATACACCAGAAAGGGAGGCATGGGATCCATTACTCTCGTTCTGTGCAGAGGACTAAAGTTCTACTTGCATACATTGAGATAGACTCCTACCAATGCATATCTTCACGGATTCTGTAATGTTTTGTCCTCAGCCCCATCCTGGCTGGAGATAAATGTTGGCCTGTCATGTAGATGTAGAGTAGAATGCACCAGGCTTCATTTATGCCATACTGCTTACATGTTGACTTGTGAGAAAGAGAGTTTCTTATTTTCTGTTGGAATAAGAACTTACCTTCCAGCAGAATGACCTATGAGCAATTTCTGTGAAACAGTATCATCTTTCTGGTTAAAATCACACTAAAAAAATAGTAATAGAAACTTAAATTTTTTTTGTTAGTAAGACTAAGGTATTACAATTTCATAAAAAAATTCTGGTCACTTTATACTTTAAAGTGTCCAATGGAAATACATTGGAAAGTCTCTAGTTGGATCTAAACAAGGAGAGTAAGCTTCTTTTCTTAGAAAAGACTGCAGCATAATTTTGTAGTTTAATCTTTCTTTCACTGGATTAATTCAGATGACTTGATATTGGGTATTGTTTTCCTTTACTGTATTCTATTATTAAGTATATATAACATTACAGAAGAATTTGGGAAAATAGATTTTAGAAATCAACAATCTCATTAAATTTTCTAGACTCTCTAAGTTTTTGTATATCATTTACATTTCTGATATACATTTGCTATGAGTACATGAACTTTCTGAATCTTACTTTTTTAAATTGAAATACAAATTACTGACTTACTGTGTTACAGAAGAATCTAACTTATGTGAATACACCATAACTGGGATTGAAAAAAACATAAAATGAATACTCTAATATTTGTAACTCTCATTAATGCCAGTATCTGTGTACACATTATCTTTATCTTTTACATGAACTGGGAAATTGGAAATTTGGAAAATAATGTATTGATATTGAATTTGAGGGTGACATCCATAAAGTTAGAGTAAGAAAATAACTTCGTGATTTCATGACTGAGTTTTGTTTTTTGCTTTTGTTTTGCTTTGCTTTTGTATTAGAAATGATTGTTGACCATCAGATTGAGACAGGCCTGTTGAAAGCTGAACTTAAGGATAAGGTGACCTATACTTTGCTCCGGAAGCACCGGCATCAAACCAAGAAATCCAACCTTCGGTCCCTGGCTGACATTGGGAAGACAGTCTCCAGTGCAAGTAGGATGTTTACCAACCCTGATAATGGTAATGCAGAGACCAGCTGGCTGCTGCTTTCTCTTGTCTCACTCACCTTTACACCATCTCCTGTCATCTTTGTTTTAACCCTTCTCCATATTTCTTCTTTTCTTGAGTTCATATGCCATAGTCATTTCATGATGATATTTTCAATTCAGTTGGGCAGGTTTGCAGTCCTGCTGGAAAGATTTCTGCAGTTGTTGTAGGCTGCTACTGCCATGTGCCTTGCTTACTCCAGAGGTGGTTCTGTAGTAACTCTGTGATGAAACAATGGAATATTATATGAGTCAGCAAATTCTCAGATGATTGAGTACCTCTGTGAATATGTTTTCAACATGATCGTTTGCCACAGTTAGGAGAATAGTAAGATATGATAAATACCTTGAAATCTCCTATCATTGTTTGCTTAGTATGTGAAATGGTGTTCAGCTTATATAAATGATTACTTCATCAAAGTTAGACTCAATATTATTTTTTACCTCTAATAAAGCCAATCCACTTTTTTGATATGTGATAATGATAGATCCAAGAATAATTATTTGAGATGGGCTATTAACCTGATTATTTAATGATAAGGAAGACACTATATTCTATCCATAGTTTATTGATTTACCAGAGGTTCCTGTAGAATGTCTATCTTTTGTATCATTGCCTTTGTTTCAAATACATTTCGTGATTGGGAGCAATCTGAGAAGGGAGAAGTTGGTTTCTGTGAGGTATGGAAAATGAAGGTATGGTGGAAAGAATTACTAAGCATTGGGCTGATAGAGTTAGGTCTATCCTCCCATCCCACCCCATCTTTTTTAGTATTAAGAGAGACGAGGCCAGGCACAGTGGCTCATGCCTGAAAATCCCAGCAGTTTTGTAGGCTGAAGCAGGTGGAGCATGAAGTCAGGAGATTGAGACCATCCTGGCTAATGAAAATGGTGAAACCTCAGCTCTACTAAAAAAATACAAAAAATTAGCTAGATATGGTAGCACATGCCTGTAGTCCCAGCCACTTGGGAGGCTGAGGCAGGAGGGAGATGGAGGTTACAGTGAGCTGAGATTATACCACTTCATTCCAGCCTGGGTGACAGAACGAGATTCTGTCTCAGAGAGAGAGAGAGAGAGAGAGAGAGAGAGAGAGAGAGAGAGAGAGGAGAGAGAGAGAGAGAGAGGCAGAGAGAGAGAGTCAGAGAGAGAGAGAGAGAGAGAGAGAGAGAGAGAGAGAGAGAAGGAAGATTCTAATTCATTGCCCTCAGCTGCATTTTCAGAATAACATAAAACTGGTTTTCATGGAAAAAGGTGGAGTAAGCGAATTGTATCAAGTGAACTGCAACTCAGCTATGCCATTTCTGGAAATGGGTTTTCTCTTCTTAGTATAAAGGTAACAGTTGGCTGGAAGAAAGCTACTAGCAGATTTTCTGTGCTATATTTTTTTAGGCCCAACTGGTTATAGGGAAATAATTAAAATAAAATGCTTTTTATAAAAAAATTCACAAAAGAGAATGGAATCTGCAGTATTTCTCCTACAGTTTGATGGTTCTACTGTTACTTACAATATTTCTGCAGATGGGAAATATTTTGGTTTTTGTGTCACCCCTGGCTTTTCTGTTTTGTTTTGTTTTAATTGTGGTTTGGGGGAGAGAGGTTACTTAACGGTTAGAAAGTTATAGGATGAGTAGTTTATTGTATCTGATGTCACAAATATTTTATTTCACAATTTATATTTTTGAAATTATGACAATTAAAATTGAAGTTACTCTTTTCTTTTTTAATAAGAAATAAATTTTCATTTTATTTTTTCATGTAAAATGAAATCCCAATATTTGATGATTGAATTAGTTTAGCATGGGGTTGGGGGAAGTATAAAGAAGTGAATGAGTGCATTGTTTTCAAATATGGATGTGTTTTCAAAAAGAAGAGGAATGAATATGGCATGCGGGAGTCTTTCTACCAATATGGTGAACTTCATTTCCATGAAACTGCAGGCAGAGTAGAAATTAGGAACAGATGGATCTTGGCGGCCAGAATCCTGTGCTTTAGGAGAAAGTGGATGTGGAATACAATTAAGGAGTTGATATCCCTCGCCATTCAATCTTTCATCCTATCTGTAGATCTCTGTACTTCAGAGAAAAGTTGAAATGCCTTGAAATGTTATCTATGCTGGGCAGAAAGCAGATAGGAAGGGCAGGCAGTTCTTTTCTAGCTCTTCAGCTGATCAGCTTACACTCTGAGGCGTGGAATGTGATTAGACCTTTTAAAACATGTTGTTATTGGCCTTAATGCTACCTAACTTCTTTTAAATATCCAGAGGCAAGATTTGGCTTTGAGAGATCCTTTAGCAATGAATTTTGTACGCCTTCAAGGTACATTCTTATAAATTATCAAATGGCAATCTTTGCTTGAGTCTTTGTATCTGTTATAGTTAGAGCTGGATTCCAGTATCTCCATGTAAAACCTAGATAAATTTGTATACCTTTGCCTTCTACATAGGCTACAAAATAGATTCAGCGACATTGCCAGCTTTAATTATAGCTAGCAACAATGTAATAAATAACTGAAATTTATAGATAACTTCAGAGTTGTGAATTTTTTTATTTCCCAATGGTATGCTGCAGCCAGGTCTAATCTACTCAGGAAAGCCAGTTGTTATCAGGGATTTGCAAGCTAGTTGTTAAATACAGTTATCAGGGATTTGCAAGCTGGTCGTTTAATTTTTACTATTAAAAATTAAATTATATAAACTTACAATAAATTATATTAAAGCAAAGATAATGAATACTGAAAATTTATTGCTTTCTCCCTGTTCACTGCGTTTTACTGTAGTCTGTGCTCTTAAAATTTTTACTCTTATTAATATTTTTTGAGATGGAGTCTTGCTCTGTCACCAGGCTGGAATGCAGTGGCAAGATCTTGGCTCACTACAACCTGGACTCCCTGGTTCAAACAATTCTTCTGCCTCAGCTTCCCAAGTAGTTGGGATTATAGGCACGTGCCACCACACCCAGCTAATTTTTTGTATTTTTAGTAGACAGAGGGTTTCACATGTTGGCTAGGATAGTCTAGATCTCCTGACCTAGTGATCTGCCCGCCTTGGCCTCCCAAAGTGCTAGGATTGCGGGTGTGAGCCATGGCTCCTGGCTGGTTATTTTTATCTATTGTGTCTGTACGGTGGTAGAAATGCTATAAAATAGTGTGCCATTGGGCGTCTCTTTTCAGCTCTGCATTCAGTGACTATATTGGTAGCTTGAAATGGGCTGTTATGGTAGTATTTACCCCAGAGAAACCAGCAAATGCTACAAATCAGGGCTTGAGGTTTTTTTTTTTTTTGGTCATTTGTCTCTAGGCTTAAAGAAGTGATGGGAAAAAATGCTAATAATGTAGATTAAATTTAAAAGTGCAAAGTGTCTATAGCTGCCAAAATGAATGACATAAATAAATTGAAGGACATTTTTTTCAGTAATCAAAAACTATTATCTAGGAATAGATTTAGGAAAACAGTCACCCACATCATTGACAAATGGATGAAGTCTGATATATTCCTTCATTGTTTCACTTTTGCCTTACTGGTTAACATACATAATAATATTAATCAACAAATGTCACAAGTATTTGTTGGATATCTGATGGATATTGGAAGTATACTACTTACTCATTTGCCAGTTGCAACCATGTTAGCTGCTGATGCAAGAGTTTGGCCAAAATCAACTAAAGTATTGTATGATAATCAACTATTTGCAATTTACAATAGAGTATTGTATATTTTATTATTATTTATATAATGTGTGCTACATATTGTTGTTGGACTTTTGCTTAGTTCTGCCAAAGATGAGGTCCTTGTCACACGATCATGAAAAATTCGGCTTGCAGACAATTTGAAGAGTGAGAAAAATGGAATTTATTGGGCAAAAAGGAAAAATAGGGAAACAAGAACTTTCAGGAGAGCAAGAGTCCTGGTAATGCAGGCTTCCTGCCTCATAGATTGAATGCCAGGTACCACCCAGGAAGAGGAGAGACCAGGCTTCTCCTCCCTGCAAATAGTGCAAACTTCCCAAGGCTCTACCCCAGTGTACACTCCTCCCAGTGCATAGGCCAGTCAGAGTTTCTTCAGGAAACCCTTTATACTTGGTTGTCACAATATCCTTTTTATCAGTAAAATTCACCACATACACATACACACATGTATCCATATACAAATAAGTTTTTTTCCCTGGAAACTGGTTTTCAAACATTTACTGAAACATCCATTACCAGCACACTACTGCCTTTATTAGCAGCTAAAGACTCACTCTCATCTTTTAGCATTCTGGGATGGCTTAGGGTTCAAGATGATTTTACGGTTTTAAAAAGGAACAAAAAACATTTCTTATCTGTAATAAATCAGGGAATAATGAGGTGAGCTTTCAAAATGCTAATTATTGTGAAATTCCTACTTGTCTCAGACATGTGTAAAGTCTATGGGCATATCTGCCAGATACTAAATTTCAGGCAAGTGCTATAATTTCTCAATATATTAGTTGAGCCATTTCTATAATGTTACATGAATAAATTAATGAGGTTTTAGGTTACTCTGGTGTTGGATTTTTCTTTACCTATTTTTTTATTTCTCACTATTGTTATAGGTTGAATTATATGAAATTTGCCATTTTTGTGGGTAAAATTAAGGTGTCAGCAGTTTCATATGATTCTACCTAATAATTTGGTCTGAGATACTTAGCTAACAGTTCTGTATTATTTTAGTGTATTATGAAAAAATAATGTTTAAGCCTGGAAACATTGCTTGATAGTATTTTAAAAATAAAGATGCATTTAGTTTGCTTTTTATTAGAAAGTAAAAGTAAAGTTTATTCTTAATTGGTATTCATTCAATAAATATTTAGTGAGATGTTTATGACAAGGTTAACAACTGCATTTTAAGAAGCCATAGTTTATAAGAGGATCTGATTTTTTAAAATATATCATTTAAATGGATACTTTTTGTATCTATTGTTTAATCCCAAAGCTTGCAAAACATGATTGAGACC